ACATGGCTGGGAGGTTCCAGGTGGACATGCTTACCTGCAGGCAGGCTACACCCCTTCCCTGCAGGAAGGGGAGACGCGGGTGCAAGGGCCATGGTGGTGGACAACTGAAAAGAGAAGCGGTGGGGAGGGGGATCGAGACCCCAGGGAGCGAATCCAGAGCCAAAACAAAAAGAAAAGATGGAGGATGGAGTCTAAAAACAAAACAAAATATTGTCAACTCAACAGAGGGGAGAGGGCGGGGGGCTCATACCAGCACACGCATGCAGCACACACGGGGGATCCTCAGCATTCCCGGCCCCTCTGGGGCATCCCACTTGGTGGGAATGGGGTTGTGGGCACCACTGTTGGCACCTCCAAGTCCATGGATGTCCCTGGAAGCTGCCCAGGTGTGGAAAGGGGCTGTACCCCCAGCCTGGAGCCGTGGAAGTGGCCAGGGGGTCCTCACCTCCTGCAGCTGCATGCAGACCTTGTTGAAGGCTCTCAGCCAGTTGGCTTTGGCTCGTGCTTTGGGGTCCTGCACCTCCTCTTCTGCCGGCTCCCTGCAAGCACACACATCCCCTGTCACCTCCCAGCACAGCAGCAGGGAGGGGGGAGCAGCCCCCACACCCCCAGCAGGTCTGAGGCTATGATCTGGGGATCCTGATGTGCCTTGGGACAGCATGGCCATGGCAAAACTGCCTCTTGGTACCAGGAAGGACCTGAAAAGACAGCAGGTCCTGCTGCAAGGGGTAGCACAATCAGGCCAGAGCACTGGGGAGAAGCCAGAAGCTTCCCCACCCTTAGGAGACACTGCCCTGGGCACCCAAGTGACACACAGGGGACAGTTGATGACAAGCATGTGAATTAAACATCCTTTGCCCCCCATCTCCCCAGCACAATCTCCTCTGGCCACTTCCCACCACAGATTCCTGGAGTAAAGGAACCCAACACCCCAGTGGTCCCAAGCCCAGGTAAAAGTGTCTGCCTGGACATGCTGGGTGTTGTGGGTTTTTTTTCTCCTCTCCCACAAAATCAAGACTGGAGGAAAAGAAAAGAAATCCTCCAAATGTACCAGTCTCCTGGAGGGCCTGGTGTGATGCAACACTGGAGAAAGAACCACTCTGGGAAGAGCTCATGGTGTGCTCAGGAGATAAACCTGCCCAGACCTCTGGGGGACTTTGTACTTACCTGGGATCTTCAGTGCTAATCTGGGATCCTCAGCATTAACCTGTGGTTCCCAGCACTAATCCACAATCCCCAGTGATACTCTAGGGTCCCAAAGGCTAATTTGGGGTCATCCATGCTAATTTGAGGCCTTCAGCACACATCTGGGGGTCCCAACACAATCTGGGGTTCCCAGCACAATCCACAGTCCCCAAATCCTAGCACAGAACCTCCAAGCTCCCTGCCCAGCAGGCACTGCAGGCAGACATTACCTGAGGCCCTCAGGTTCCTCCCAAGTCTTGGGCCTAAATATCCAGCTCTTTTAAAAACAGCTCATTACACACTGGTCTGAATTAGAGATTCTCCATTCCTAGTGTGTAATTTAAACTAAATAAAAGGCTGAAAAAGCCCATCACAGTTCACATCTGCACAGAGGAGCAACACTCACTGAAAATGGAAATGGTCCATAATGATATTTGAGTATATGAATTATTCACATGCTGCACCAGGAACCTGACCACCAATTAATTCTCTTGTACAGAACAGGAGGCTGTGGATGAGCTTCTACCAGGCCTAGGGAGAAAACTGACTTCTGTAAAGGAAATCTCCTGACCAAGCTCCACCCAGGGTGCCAAGAGCCTGTGCCAGAGGAGAGGAATCACAGCCCCAGTATCCCATTCCCTCAGCCCCATGTTTGTCCCAGATTATAAACCTGCAGCCCTGTAGCCCCAGCAGGTTCTTGAACACCTTGAGCCATGCTTAGCTCAGGGGTTGGCTGGGCCCAGGCAGCGTGCCCAGGGTGTTGGCTCTTGCCTGGGTGGCACAAGGTGAGCTTCTCCCACCTTGATGGCTCAGGCACCTGGAAAAGCTCCAGACACAGCAGAAGGTCCCTTGTCCTGCACCAAGCACCAGCACCATCCCTGAGCCACCTCCAGGGCATGCTCAGTGCCTCCAGGCACAGTGTCATCCCAGGGACATGACAGGTCAGTTCCCCCTCCTACCTCTCAGCCGGTTTTGGGGGCTCAGTCTCTGGGGCTGCCTCTTGCATGGAAACTTCCTCCTCTGCCTGCTGGGCCTGGAGGGCCTCAGGGGCTTCCTGTGGGGCAGAAGTGTCCTTCTCATCCTTCCTCTCCTCTTTCCTCTCCTCTTTCCTCTCCTCCTTCCTTTCCTGCTGCTGAGGCTTCTGCTGTGGGACCAGCTGGGGTTGCTGCTGCTGCTGCTGTTGCTGCTGCTGTGGGACCTGCTGCTGCTGCTGCTGCTGTGGCAGGGGTTTCTGTGGTGGTGGGTATGTTTCATGCTCAGGGGGCTCATAGGTGTCCTGGTCCCGCAGTTCCTCCTCCTCCTCCTCTTCCAACTCCTCTTCCTTGGGGTAGCCCTCCTCAGTCTCACTGTAGTCCTCAATGAACTCTTCCTCCTCCTCCTCCAGGTAGAGATCATCATCATCCTCCTCCTCCCAGCGTGGCGAGTCCTTGCGGTAGCTGACGGAGCTGTGGCAGGAGTGGTAGGAGTCCCCGTCCCTCTCGTCCAGCTCCGAGTCCCTCAGGCTCTCGTTCTCGAAGTCCTCGCTCAGCTGGGAGCTGCCCTGGCTCAGCTCGGCCGAGGAGGCGTAGCGGCTGCTCCCTGTGGGGCTGGGGGCGAGGGAACACAAGGACAGGGCTCCCGTGGGTCCGTGTCACCCCAGGCAGAGCCCCGGGGCCCTGCACCAGGGGCAGGAGGATGTGCAGCTCCCACCAGGGGCACTGGGCTCCTCATCCTGGGACCCAAAGGCACGGAACCAGGGAACTCTGTCAGCTGGAGCCAGCCCCCCCAGCAGGGGCACTCTGAACTCCCTGCCTGTGCCTGGCCTGAGAGAGGGGATGGGGGTGACAGTGGCTGTCTCCTATGCTCACCCCAGCCAGATCCTACCTCCTGCTGCTGCCAGTCACCCTGTCCTGCCCCTGAGACACAGATCTGTCACCCAACCTCTACCCTGATGTCCCAGCACTCCCCACGGCCCTCAGTGGCACCCCCACCCCAGGACACCCCCTCATCTCCCTCACTATTAACACCATCTCTACCCGGGGGTCCCCTCTCTGCTCTTGCTGCCAGGCCAGACTCCTTCCCCCACCCCATCTGCCCCCCCAGCCCTTCCAGCCCCCTCCTCTCACAGCTGCCTGCACTGGGAGGCCCCTGGGGACCCTGTGCCCCAGGAGGCTGCCATGGACAGGGCAGCCCCACGGCTCCGTGGGGACAGGCTGACAGAAGCAGACATGCAGACAGGACAGGGACATGCCGAGGAAGAGGCCGACACCACGTCTCCAGCACTGGCAGCCAGGGCTCAGGGGGTGTGTGAGGGGACAAAGAGGAGGAGCTGGGCCGGGCAGAGCCCAGAGTGGCTGAGCCAGGCTGTGGGAAGCCAGGGGACACCGCAGGGAAAAGAGGGCTGGAGGATGGCTCAGGCTGGTCCCAGCTGGGAGGGGTACTGCCATCATCCAGGTACCTTGGGAAGGAGCACTTGGGGCACAGGGATGCAGGAGACACAGCTCACACCTGGAAACCCCACACCTCCCCATCCTGATCCTGGCCCAAGCTGAGAGAGGTGCTCTTGGCACATTGTAAGATCCCAAATCACTGCACGAAGCTTTTGCCCAGACAGGCACACCCTGGCAGGTGACCAGGAACAGGGGGTGGCATTTGAGTCCGCAAGGGCTCAGTCCCACACTCGCTGGCATGACAAGGAACAGGCAGCAGTGCTGCCAGACACTTGCAGTGCCAGCAAGCGGGACCAGGATGCTGGGATGTCACCCCATGAACTGGGGTGCAGCAGCAAGAGGGGCTGGGGGGACACCTGGAGCATCCCAATGCTGTCCCTGTACAAGGCCGATCCGGGGCGGGGAGGGTGGCACAAGGCCGCCCTTGCCAGGACTGGTGTTGGCCTCACCATGGCTGCAAGGACCGACCACAGCACTCTGCGACGGCACACGGCACACGCACAGGTAGTGACCCACCTATCCGATAGGTCTAGGGACCGCCTGCTCTCAAGGGAAGGCTGGCGGCTGGTCCGCCTGCTCGACTCAGAACCGGACTCAGCGTCGCTGCGTCCGTTTGCGGCAGAGTCTACGCTACCATAGCGTCTGCCAGGGGAGGAGAGGAACATGGTCAGCGAGGTCCCACCGCCACCCGCCACCCCCTGCTGCCGTGGGGACGCTGGCAGGGAGGCTCTGTCCGCCTGGGGCTGGCACTTGGGCTGGGCTCTGCCACATCTGTGCCCCCAGCCACCCCACGCTCCACTGCCCAGCTCCCAGTAGGGACAGCCAGGGGTGGGGGGCCCCAAACCCAGTGAGGACAGAGGAGGGCAGTGACCCAAAAGAGTTTGAAAACTTCCCAGTGAGAAGGAAAGGCTTGGATGGAGCCAGCACCACCCGACTCTTCCTCACCTCAGCATCCTTTCCTCTGTCACCCACCGCACTGGGAGCGCCATCCCTGGCGTCACCCCGGGTACCTGCTGGCCTCTGCTGCCTGCGGGGGAGGTGGAGAGAGCCGGTCCCAGGGTGAGTTAGCTGTGGCCACACTACCTGATGGGAGCCTGGTCCGAGTAGTCCATCTCGTAGCTCTGCATGGAGTCAGTGTAGGAGTCACGGGAGCTCTGCTGCTGATGCCTCATGGGGTACTGGTGCACGGAGGCGTTGGGCTGGGACGTGGTGTAGTAGGGTGGGGGGATGCTGTTGCTGGTCTCGCTGCGGTAGTCACTGTCCCGGTCGTCCACGGTACTGTCAGGGTCATCATCTGCAAGGGGCCACAGTGAGTGGGGCAGGGGATGGCCCAAATCTGCCCCCTACCCTGAACAGACCCTATAGTGCCACCACTGTGTCCCCACTGCTATGGGACTGTACTGGGGAGGTGGGCCCAGGGCAGGACAAGGGGAGAGCTGACATGTTATTGGCACAGGAAGGGTCTGGGGGGATGAGGGAAAGGTGGAGGGGGAATTTGGGACATACAGAAGGGGGAAGAGAGTGGGGGCAGGCTCCCTCCCTCTGCCCCACCAATGTTCCACCACAGATTCAAAGCCCAAGCTGCTCATTGCCACTGGGACATCCCAAGGGAACAGAGACCCATGGTGCCATGTCCCCACCAGCCCATGGGGACAGCCCTGCCCAGGACAGGGCACTTGATGACACTGTCCTCACTCAGTATAGAGTCATGGCACAAGGCCACAGCCTAGACCCAAGCTCCAGGTCCTCTGAGCCCTGGGCCAGGCAAAGAGGGATGTGCTGGGGACCCCCAGGCTGGGAAGAGAGAAGTTGGCAGGATACTTACTCTGCTGTTCTCCCCAGCCAAAATAATTCCAGTTGCCTACAAAGAAAGAGGCCAAGACAATAAAGATGGAGGTGGGTGGTTGGGAGGAACCAGCAACCCCCCAGAGGGCACACTGGGTTGGGGACACTGCCCTGGGAACAGCATCCAGGATGGGGCACACTGGCATTGGGACACTGCCTGGGCCTGAACAAGATGACACCAAGCTGGACTGGAGACAGTGCCTGGGGTGGCCACGGCGTCACTGACCCAGGCTGGGGACAATGCTATGGCCAGGCATGGTGGCACTGACAGGGGACAGGGCCTGAGGCTGGGCACAGGGGCACTAAACAATGCATGGCCCCTGGGGTGGTTACAGAAGGGGGAACTGAGGCACGTGTTGGGACAAACTGAGCTGCCACCCCAAATGCCTCTGCAGGGTCCCCATCCAGCAGCCCCCAAACACCAGCCTGCTGCCCCTTGCCCCAGAGGAACTGCCCTCATCAGCCCCACAGCTCCCATGCTCTGCTCCCCTCCACCCACAGGAACGCTCACCCACTGTGGAGCTGGGACACAGCAAAGAAACACTGGCAAACACAGGAAGGACAACAGGAATGGGGATGGGGATCAGGTATGGGGTGAAGTTGAGCCCCACTTGGGGTGCCCCAAGGCAGATGTGGAGCCCACCCCTTAAAACTCCTCGGTGTGGGAGTGGGGAGAAGGAGGGTGTGGGGGTCCCACAGTGGGGCAGGGACAGGGCAGCACTTACAGCACTGCGAGCCATGCACAGGCAGAGGCTTTTCCTGCTCCTCCTGGAAGGCATACTGGGGAGAGAGGAGCTGGTAAGGGCTCCTGCTGGCAGCACTGCCCCTTCCCCCTCACCCCAGGCCCAGCTGCACTCACATCATCCTGGTCCCGCATTGCATTGAGCTGCTCCAGTTTCTTGGCCCAGTACCTGGCCTCCTCCTCAGGGATATCTGCGAGGGCAAAGACCCCAGTTGGTGCACAGACCTCCCCCAGAACAGCCCTCAAACTTTTGGGTCCACAGCATCAGATCCCCCCCAGCTCCAAGGCAAGGAAAGACACAGCCTGGGCCTGGGGGCCAGGGATGGGGCACCCACCCAGCGGCAGCTCAAAGCGAGTGTCAAGGAGGATGCGGTGGAAAGTCGGATCCTTGGTGCCTGAAATCTCGTTGTCTGTCATGATGACCTGGGAGTCGAGCGTGAGCCATTCCCCAGGGCCCTCCTGTTGGGTAGAAATGGGGTGAGGAGAGCTGCCAGACCCCCCTTTTCGTGGCCTCACAACCCACACAACTCAGCTCACTGGGGGTGGCCCCAGGCAGGATGGGGAAGGCTCTGCCTGGTCCAAAGGACAGCCGGGGGTGGCACATGTCCCTTGTGGCTCAGCAGGGAGATGCCTGTGCCTGCCTCCCTACCTCATTGGACTGCCTGATGGTCCGGAGGGGGATCCACACCGTGCCCACCATGGTGTCCCAGATGAGCCCCTTGTTCCACACCTCCACAGTCAGGCCCAAGTCCAGCCGGTTGATCTCACTGGGGACAGGAAAGGTATCAGGTTAACCCCCCTCATGTCCCAGCAGCCTCCTGGGACCACCCCAGCTTCTACCTGTCCCCTCCAGCCCAGGACTCAGGGGAGCCCCCAGATGTGGGGTCAGGGCAGTGGGGGACTCCCCGTGTTATTTGTGGGGGCAAGGGGGAGCAGCAGGGATGGGGGAACTCAGGGGCCCCCCTGGACACTCACAACATGAAGTCCTGCTCCCAGGAGGGCAGGTTGCCCCGCACCGCTATGGTCGTGCTCTTGACATTTTGTACCTTCAGAGTCACGTAAGTGTTAAACTTCTCTGTGGGAACAAGCAGAGGGTGAAGTGACCCCCAGTGTGCCCCCACTCCCCGACACCAGCCAGTGCCACCCCCACACACGCTTCCCTCAGCACCCCAGTCCCAGGAGGGATCCTACATCTGCCAGGGCTGGTAGGATGTGAGCCCCCTGCTCCACCCAGTGCACCCCCACTTGTGTGTGTGTGTCCCCAGCTTGCCAAATGATGCCCCCAGAGCTAAGGGTCCCCTCGACCACCTTCCCCAGCCCCTCCTCTGACCCTGCCACATCCAACCAGCCCAAGAGCCCCCCACCCTCTCCCCTCAGGTGGGCAGGCAGGTGAGGTCTCACTTACCTTGGGGCCCATCATATTTGGCCTTTTTAACTGTAGGGACAAAGGGAGGGAAGAAAATCAGGCTGAGACCCTGGGGAAAGTTGGGGATCCCCACCAGGGTGTCAAGGGGGTGGGAGGACCCCAGTCCCAGTTTCCCCCCACACTCACCCAACTGCCAGGTGGGAAAAGTGCTGGGATCCCCCGTGCCCAGGTGAGGGTGAGGGATCAGATATGAGCTGGAGGTGGGTATGAGAGGGGAGAAAAGGCTCCCCAAAAAACCTGCTGCTCTGGGACAGCTTGCTACCCCAGATGACCAGCCTTGCACTGTTGAGGGGGTGTTCCCCCCCCACCCCACACTTTTGATTTGGGATTTATTTGGAGAAACAGACAATGTTACCATCCATACCCAGAAGAAAACCTGTGGTCTGGGGGACCCTGTTCCCCACTTAAGTCCCAGCTGGGTGGCACCAGCCCAGCAGGACCAGGGTTAAAGCTCTCCCAAACCACTGACCCAGATTTCCAGCAGGAAACCTGTTGGGTCAGGGGTTTGTAAGCCTCCCTGCACAAAAACAGCCCCAGGATGGAGGAGATGCCCCCCAAAATCCTATACAGCCCCAAAACATCCCCACTGTATCCCAGCCATGTCTCCCCATGGGGCACTGTGGGGCTGGTTCCCATCCTGCCCATTGGGGGGTGCAGGGAGCCCTCTGATCCTGCCCAGCCCCATGGGAAAACCCCCTCACCAATTCTGGCTGACCCCCTCCAGCTTTACCCAGTTGGGTGGGGGTCAGTTCCCAGCTTTTGGCTGCAGCGGGGGGCAAACAGAGCTGAGCACAGCCAGGAACCGACTGCCAGTGGCGGGGGTGTCCGCGGGGCTGCCAGGAGGGGACCAGGCGGGGAGGGAATGACACAGCACCCGGAGAGCGGTTAAATGACGCGGGTGCCAGCGGGCGCAGGACCAACGTGACCGAGCAGGGATGAAAATAGCCCTGCGACATCAAAGGCAATTTGATTTCGGAGACGTGCCGCTCGCCAGCCGCTTGTCACCGCCACCAGCGGCGGAGGGGACGCGGGGCTGCCGCCGGCTCCACGTGCCGGGCAGGGCTGGGAGGAGCCACGTGGCACCAGAAACCTCGGGGAAACTGAGGCACGGCAAATCATCGCCTTGGAAAACAACTGGGGACCCTCTGAGTCGGCTGCCTGCCCAGTGCCACCAAAAGGGTGACACGTTGGGTGGCTTTTTGCCCGAAGGAAGGTCACCAGCTACGTCAGTAGCAGCCATGTTCCCAGGGAATCACAGCGCTTCAGGAGCCGCAGCTTCACTCGGAGATAGGGAATTCACACCTGGGGGGTGGCACAAGGCTCCGGGATCCCAAAGATCCTCGAGTGACACCAGGTTGGGAGCCTGGGGGCTGGCTGGGGATGGCTGGCACCACTGTGGTAACACTGGTTAATTTACGTAATGATTATGTAAATTAAATATAATGTATTTATACATTATATTATATATATTATAAATTTATATTATTCTATTCTAATAAAGCATTTGGAGTCAGAACCTGCCTGTGGCTGACAGGGATCCCCCTTCCCCCGGGCCCAGGGGCACCCACTACTCTTCACCAGCTGCTGCTTCCAAAAAGAAACGCAAGAGCAGAGGAAGGAAAAGCTCCAAAAATACCCGAGCTGACAGGAACAAACAATTACCCAGGGAACACGTGGTTTTCCTGGCTGTCATCTCCTGCCAGGGAGAAGTCCTGCTGTCACCATCTGCAGGATGTGCTGCCCTCCCACCCATCAAAGGGTCCCCAAAGCTGGCACAGGGGTAGCAGGTCCTGGGGTGCCACGCTGGGGCTAAATTCAACCTGAGTCCCCAGGCAAGGAGCTGAGGATAGGTGACACTCGTGTGACATCAAAAAGCTGGGACCTTCCCAGGCTGGGGTGATCTGGCTCCTCTCAGGGGATGTTGACTAGTTGGGGAAATTGAGGCAGGAGGCAGCTCACAGAGATTTGTTTGGGAATGGTACGAAAACTGGGTTGGGCTGTTGGCATGCCCCAACAGGTCTGTTTGTCTGTCCATCCCTCTGCCTATCCACACATCCCTCTGTACATCCATCGTGCTGTCTGTCCATTTATCTGTCTCTCCACCCACACATCCTTCTGTCCATCCACCCATCCGTCTGTCATCTATCTTGCTGTCCATCCATCCACCCACTCTGTCCATCCACCCGCCCCTCTGTCCATTTTCCTGTCTCTCCATTCACCCATCCTTCTGTCTGTCCATCCATTTGCCTGTCTGTCCACCCACTCACCCCACCACCCACCACATGTCCATCTCCTGCGTGTCCACCCCTCTGTCTGTCCATTTACCTGTCTCTCCGTCCACGCCTCTATCTATTCATCCACCCATGTCTCTGCCCTCTGCACTATCTGTCCATTTACTGGTCTCTCTGCACACCCGTCTCTGTGTCCATCCCCCCATACATCTATCTGTCCATCCCTCTGTCCTCCATCCAAACCCTCTGTCCAACCCTCCATCCATCCTTCCATCTGTCCATCCTGTCCTTCCATCCACCCCTCTGTCTGTCCTCTCCCTCCATCCCCCCACCCCTCTGTCAGTCCATCCACCCACCCCTCAGCCTCCGTGATCACGTCTCCCATCCCCTTCATCCATCTGTCCCTCCGTCTCTCCATCTGTCTCTCCGGATGCCCATCCGCCCGCCTGTCCATCTGTCCGTCTGCCTCCCGCCACTCCAGACACCCCCTCCTGTCCCCACTCACCCCACACTCCCAGGTCACCCCAGTGCCTGTCACACAGGGACACCCGGTGGCACAAAGCGCCCCAGGAGGGGCAGGGAAAGCCTGTGGGAGGCTCTGGGGTGGCACCCCCGCCCCCGGGACCCCCAAAATAGCACGAGAAGCGTGAGCAGCGAGTGGTGCCGGGGCACCGGGGGAAGCCGGAACCCACTCGGAGCTGATTCCCGGCAGCCACCCCCGGAACCACCGAGGGTGTCACCACATGTGACAGTCTTTTAAGTGGGTGTAAAGAGGGGCCCCTTTGCCAGAGGAGAGTACCCGAAATCTGGGGCTAGCTGGGAGGGCACACTGGGCATGCCAGCTGTGACACTGCCACGAGAGAGGGGGCTCGGACATGTCAGGGAGTGGAAGGGGGCACGGCCCCGGTCCTGATGAACTCTGGCAGCATTGGGAGAGCCCCCGTTTTTCTCCAGATTTCGCCTGGGGTGGGGGAATCCCAGACACTCTATGCCCCACCCTGTCCTAGCTGTCACCTTCATCCATCCAACACACACGAGTGCTACCCCGTTCCCACCAGGATGTCACAGGGCCTTGAGAAGGGCCCCTCCCGACTTCTGTCCCCTCCTCACTGAGCATTCAATCCAGACTGACCAGCGAGGCTGAGGCCAAGCCTGCAGGACTCATCTGTGCACCGAGCTGGGCAGGGCTCAGTGCGCTGGGTGCAGGGATCCCCTACCTGTGCACTCCTCCAGTTCATCCCAGTATGGGGTGACCTGCACCAGATCCCCAAACTGGGCACACACCAGCACCAGAGCCCCAGGCTCCTACCCTGACCCCCCCAGCTGCCCTGACTCCCACCAGCATCACCATGCCCAGGTGAGGCAACACCTGCAGGAGCACAGGGGGCTGCAGGAAGCGAGGCTGGGGCAAGGACTATCATTGGAGGGGGTATTCAGGGGTTCACAGAGGGAGGTGGGGAGAGTGTGGGATTTGGGATGCATGGGAGTCTGTTTAGGGGAGTGAGAATGTAGACATTCATAGATGGGGATGGATGATGTTTGGGAGGGCAGGGATTTTAGGGGTCGGGGGTGCTTGAGGGTGTAATTGGGGGATTTGGGATAGATGTGGAGTGTTGGGGGCACATATGGGGGGTTTCTGATGAGGGGGTGTTTGGGAATGCAGAGGGCTGAGTCTGCAGGA